TTTTTCCCACAGTCTGATCCCCATTCCCCAAGCACAATAGAATTTTTCTTACAAATCACAAATCAGTGCTCCATGACTAATGTGCATTTTTCCACTTATTCCTTCAAAATTGTTGGCTATGGATTTTTTTCCTGCCTGTACCTTTATCTCATCGAGATAAAAATGATAGGAGGATGAGAAATCAATTAGGTAGCAAGAAAAGAAGCACAGCTAAAGTAAAGCAATTACACCAGGGCTAATAACCTCTCCTACAACAATTACACAGTCACATCAAGTGAATTTTGAAACCACAGGAGTTGTTTTGACCCAGAAAAGCAATATGTTGCCTTGCCTGTCAGTCACTATGGTTTCCAGTCCCTGAGAGCCTGATTTAGTTGATGATGGAACAGCTACATCTTTATTCATACACAGTCCTCATGAGAGTTTGCCACAGACGGCGCAGCTCCTTCCTTCCTCTCCCCTCCCTCCCTGCCTGTCCCCCCATTCCTTTCCTTCCTCCCTGTCTACTTTCCTTTCAAGTATATTTATGGAGGAGCTACCATATGCCCCAAACAGGCATGTGTGTGTGTGTGTGCACGCGTGTGCGTGTGTGTAGGGGGAGTGACATCTGTTGGTGCAGTTTGTCAGTCAGGCCTGCACTGTTCATTCAACCCAGTGTTCACCAAGTGTCTATTGAGTGCCAGGTTTGGAATTTAGAAATTAAGAGACAATAGTCCTTGCACTCATGAGATATAGCCACACAAGCAGACAGCTACACTACCATGGATTCTTCATGACAACAAGAGCAAAGTCAAGTTGAGGTTATGGAATGCACATGTGGTGTGGGGTTGGCCTGGACAGCTCCATTGTGGAGTTGATATTGTAGATGAGAAATGAACAAATTTGTGAACAAGCTTGCCGGAAGCAAGGGACAGTGACCTTGGGAGAGTTCAGCTATGAGGAATGATGCACACAAAGACACGGTGTTGAGCAGAGCACAGTTTGTCACAGCTGGAGCGCTGGATGCAAGCAGGGGGCAGCTACAATTCAGCCTGGTATAGACAGGGAGTCTTTGAAAAAGACGAGTGATCCTATCCGGTGGATATTAAACAAAAATAAAGCTACAATAAGTAAAATTATGTGGCATTTGTGGGAGAAAAACCACTAATTTAGTTACTCATGCTCTCCTTTTCTTAATTATGTTTATTGCTATTTTATTGCTATTAATGGAAAAGATATTCAACATAAGCAGACAAAAGTCATTCTAGGAAAATATTCACAACATATTAAAACAGGAAAATGTTATTTTATAAAGAATACTTCTAAAGTTAGAGATCAGAGAAAATGAAAACATTCAAATAAAAATAGGTAAAGCCATATGAATAAGTGCTTTAAAATTGTATAAAATATATTCAGTCTTATATGTAATAAAAGAAATTCAAACAAAAACACCAAAGAAATGCTGCCTTTTCCCCCTTTATAGATTTGGTAAAGATATGTAGATATATGAGTCTTCAAAATGATCATGGAAAATGAGCATTATCTTTTAATTCCACATTTCTGTGAACGTTTTAGGGTACCCAGGTATGTAGCACGCATGGACAACTATGATGTGGGTAACAAACTGAGCAAATATCTTTGAGGTGCTCCTTTTGTCTACTTAAACTTGGAATTAAGAGTTTAAGCTTACCTAAAAGAGGTATAAGCAAGAGGATCAAGTCTGGGGGGGCTACAGTATGGGAGGGAATGAAAAAGGAAAGGAGAGAGGGTGGAAAAAGGGGGTGGGCATTGAGTTACTGCAGGATGACCAGCTGCTTAGGACAACAGCACCCCTTACTGGAATGCCAGTTCAAGTCCTGCTCCTCTGCTTCTGATCCAGCTCCCTGCTAACACGTCTAGCAAGGGAATGGATGATTGGCCAAGTACTTGGGTCCCTGCTACCTACATGGGAGACCCAGATGGAGTTCCTGACTCCTAACTGGACAGGCCCATTCCCAGCTGTTGTGGGCATCTGGGGAGTGAACCAGAGGATAGAAAATCAATCTCTCTCTCTGTCTCTCTGTCTCTCCCTCTCCTCCTTCTTTCTCTGTTGCTCCACCTTTTGAAGGAAGGAAGAAAGGGAAAGAATTTGAATCTTAGCTCTGAGAGATATGATAAGTATATGTGTGAATTATATTTGGAGAGAGGAGATAAAAAAGACACACACACACACACACACAGCGTGGGGGAGGGCATGACCCTTAGCTCTGAGAGCTATGGAATCATAACAACCACAGCAGGGATTATTCGGAAAACCAGATCCTCACCAAATTCTACCTGGGCCTGGTCTTGGTTCAGGACAGAAGCTGCTGCTGAGAGGTTGGGGGTGCCCCGGCTGCCAGAGACAGCAGCCGGCTCCCTGCCCCCGGAAAGGCAAGGAGGCTGGGTGAGCAGTGGGCTTCTCGTCGGGTAGGAAATACTTTGGAGCAGTTCCAGCGGAAGTGGGCCAGGACGGTTTTCACAGCTCCACCACGGCTGGAAGCAAGGAGCAACAGCAGGCCTTAGGAAGCCTGTTTGGTGAGAGTCGAGGGAAACCTGCTTTTGAAATCGTTCCCTTTCATCAGCAAACACATGATGCTTTGCCTTTTCAAGGACAAGTCAGGCTGCAGGCCGATGTGAGCGCAAGTCCTGGTGGGGGAATTTCAGGCAGCACAGGACTGAGCGACAGATCTGGCCAGACACGGAGCGCCCGGAGCTGTGTGGTTCGCAGGCTCCTGCAGCTGCCCTGCTTGGGGGAGGGCTTTCACGGGTGCCGCATTCTGCCACGAATGGGCAATCAATCAAGAGTGACGTTGAGACGCGTGGGGCTGCGGGAATCGATGCCTCGGTGGCACGCGATGGCGTGAGCTGCTGCCTTCCAAATGCTTTCTTTCCACTGAGCCTCGCTCCTCTCCCACGTGCACTTTCCAATGTTGTTGGGACAAACATTAGATTGGTTCTAAATAAACTTCATCTCTCTTTCAAGCATCCTCCTGCATTTGACTTGGCGAAGGTTATTCTATTGAAATACAATGTAGATGTTAATTTGGTGATTTGGCAGAGATGATGGGACAACATGAAAAGTCAGACAGGCTGCAGCTCTGGCTGGTGGGGGTCACGGTTCCTACCCGGCTGCACCTGTGAAGGGGAGCAGGCATCTAGCTTCTTCTCGCCCTAAGTCTATTCTGGTGATAAGTTCAGGGATTGGACAGTATGATGGATGACCTTTCTCCTGGCTTTAGTATTTCCTGAGACTAAAGATGAAGAATGAGCAAGAAAAGGTGATTCCTATAATGTCATAAAACATTTGAAAAATGATCAATCAGCTTAATTAAAGAAATGCATATTACAATAATGAGTTTTTTAAAACCTCTTATGTTAGCAAAGATTTTTGAAAAGATTTATTCATCTATTTTATTTGAAAGAGTCACACACACACACACACACACACACACACAGCGGGGAGTGGGGAGAGAGAGAGAGAACATGAGAGAGCTCTTATCCACTGATTCACTTCCCAAATGACTATGATGGCTAAGGCTAGGTCAGGGCGAAGCTGGGAGCTAAGAGCTCAGTGCAGGCCTCCCACGCGGGTGGCAGGAACACACTCACTGAAGTGTCACCACTGCCTCACAGGGTCCGTATTGGCAGGAAGCTGGAATCAGGAGTCGCTGATGGGGATTGAAACTCGCTACTCTGATGTAGATGCAGGCTCCCTAACTGGCAAATTAACTGCTAGCCAAATGTTCACTCCTCCTGTACAGTCTTTTTTTTTTTTTTGACATATTTGACAGGCAGAGTGGACAGTGAGAGAGAGAGACAGAGAGAAAGGTCTTCCTTTTTCCGTTGGTTCACCCCTCAATGGCCGCTGCGGCCGGCCCACCGAGCTGATCAGAAGGCAGGAGCCAGGTGCTTCTCTTGGTCTCCCATGGGGTGCAGGGCCCAAGCACCTGGGCCATCCTCCACTGCACTCCCGGGCCACAGCAGACAGCTGGGCTTGAAGAGGAACAACCGGGACAGAATCCGGCGCCCCAACCGGGACTAGAACCCAGGGTGCCAGCGCCGCAGGTGGAGGATTAGCCTAGTGAGCCACAGCGCCGGCCCCTGTACAATCTTAAATTTAGGATTTTTATCACAATGCTGTACCTACCAAAACCTAAAAGCCACTTGTCGCTTGCTCAGGACTTATGTGACATACCTTGGTAGACATCGGATCACTCAAGAGGCACAGGATCAACATAGCCCGTGAACACCCTCAACAGGTGTTCCATAGTTCTCCATCCCATCCACACACCCAGAGCCACCGTCTCATGGTGGCCTTGCTACGTGACCAAATGAGACTTGCCTTGATCAGATTGTTGGGCTTATTTCTGCAGAACGTCAATCTCCAGATCACCCCTGGCCACAGGGAATAGGGGACAGCCTGTGCTTGGTCACCGAGGCCCTTCACAAATGAGCTTCCCCTCAGCTGCTACAAGGGGGTCGTTGCCAGCTTCTCCTCTCCTGGCCTTGCCTGCCTGTCCACTCGCTGCCCCACCACTCCTTCTGACTCCTGGTTGCCAGGCAGAAACCACATCCCTGAAACTAGTGTTATACCCTGTATTTGAAAGGTTGCCTGATACAACAGAAAGAACTGAGTATAAAGTCTGACAACCCCAAGTTTCAAACCTCTTTGAGCTTCAATTTCATCACTTATCAGATGGGGGAACAGTAGTTATTTCATAGGGTTCTGCTGTGGTTAATGGGGTAGTTATTAATCCCTCAGCACAGTCCCTGTCCTGTAGTATGTACTCAGGGCATTTTAGTTCTCTTCCTGACTCTGCTTTGAAGGGGTTGGACTCACAGCACCCCCCAGCCCCCAACCATCATAGCTTTAGATAAAATCCGGTGGCCTGGCTAGTCCCCCAAGGATGCTAGCATGAACAAGTGGCCTATAGGGGAGGAGAGCACCAGTTGGTGAACCCGGAAAGCCCCCACGTGAGTCTGGCCTGCTGGTCTCTTACCTGATGATTGTCAGAGGGATGAAATACACCAGGAAGGCCACAATGGTCATGTACGGTGTCCAGTAAGAGTCATCAGGCCATAGGGCCCAGCACTGTACTTCGCCGTTGGAGAGGGTCCTTTTCCCAAATATGATCAGGGTGGGGATGGAGAACAGGAAAGACAGGCTCCAAGCAATCCCGATAAGCACCTTGGCTTGCTTTTCTGCTCAAAGGAAAGAGAAATAGAGCTGGGAAACTGGACGCACCTTGTGGGAGCACACTTGGCGTCTATGCAGGACAGGATCACTGAGAACCACCCTGGAGCTCCCTGGGTCTCCCAGCGCCTGTTTGCTCTGAGTCAGAAGGGATGACGGTGCCTACATGTTGGCTCTTGTGAAGAATAAGAGAAGCCTGTACGGCTGATAGCTACTGCCTGGCGTGAGGTTTGTGTTTCCCAATTTCTACTTCCTTTTACCTTCCCCGATTCAGCTGTCTGACTCGCAATGTGATGCGGCATAAGGGAGCTCAGCTCAGCCTGTGCCACTTGCATTTGCTACGTAATATATTGTGCGAATGCTAAGTTGTGTCCTTCAACACGCAGCCCATGTTTCTGGTTACAAGGCAGGGATGTGGCCTTTTGTCACTCCAGCATCCTTTCATTGTACCCGGTGCTACAAATCTTTGAGGCAATCTTTGAGAGCTATTTGCCAAAGATAGTGAGCCTTCTTTTGTCTGGACTTGGTTCGAGAGAGTAAGGTTTGTTGTATTCACGTCCTGCTGCCTGGAAGCCATGATCCTGCACACTGGCTTCAGATGCAACATTCTGACCTTGAGCAAACCACTCAGTCTCAGCCTCACTTCTTCCCCTTTAAAATGGAATTTAAAAATACCCACTCTGGCCACCGAAGCAGGTCACTATGGGACAGCAGAGAAAAAAAATGCACTTAACAGTCTATATTTTTAAAGAATTATGTATTTATTTGACAGGCAGAACAGCAGAGAGAGAGACAGAGAGAAGTCTTCCATCTGCTGGTTCACTCCCCAAAGCCAAAGCTGGGCCAGGCCAGGCTAGGAACTCCATCTGGGTCTCCCATGTCGATGACAGGGGCCCAAGCACGTGAGCCATCATCCACTGCTTTCCCTACTGCATTAGCAGGGGGTGGATTAGAAGTGGAGCAGATAGGATTTGAAAGGGTCTTCTGATGTGGGATGCTGCTATTGCAAGCAATGGCTTAACTTGCTTTGTGCAACAAAGCTGGTCCCACAGGAATGTTTTAAAAAAATAATCATCGTGCTTTCTGTTAAGCTGTTGTCAACATTCATCATTTTAATCCTCTACCTGGCCTTGCCGGCTGGGCTGACTGGTCCTGGGCCATGCTCCTTGGAGACAGGAAGCCACCTTCACTCCCAGCCTTTGAACCTGATGGTGGGCATCTATCTTTAGGTGGCAGGGCCCAGTATGCCGGTTTAGTCAAAGAGCCAAAAGGAGGGGCCGCCACCGTGGCTCACTTGGTTAATCCTCTGCCGGTGGCATTGGCATCCCATATAGGTGCCGGATTCTACTCCTGATTGCTCCTCTTCCAGTCCAGTTCTCTGCTGTGGCCCAGGAGGGCAGTGGAGAATGCCCAGGTGCTTGGGCGCCTGCACCCGCATGGGAGACCAGGAAGAAGCACATGACTCCTGGCTTTGGATCGGCACAGCGCCAGCCGTTGCGGTCATTTGGGGAGTGAACCAACGGAGGGAAGACCTTTCTGTCTCTCTCTCACACTGTCTGTAACTCTACCTGTCAAATAAATAAATAAAAAATCTTTAAAAAAAAGAGCCAAAAGGAATGAAATCGTCAAGAAATACTAGTCATCTCCTCTTGACTCTAAGTTTGAAGGGGTTGGACTTACATTCTAGCAGAAACTAGAGACTCACAGAATCGTGCATCTGAAAGATTCGAGAGAACAGCTGGGGCTCTGTTCTTGCTGAATTGCACACACTGGGATGTTTACAAAAGAGATGTCACTGGCCGACTGGACAATTTGAAGTCTTGAGTTAGAATTTCAACTGCTATTTGATTTGGTTTGTCCCTGGCGTTAATCCATTGATTCAGTCATCCAGTGACTATGGTATTGAGAAGCGTTTGATCCAACTGTAGTTTTTAGTAGGCAACCAGTGCGAGGTCCTTGGTTCACTGGGGGATGTGACCTCAGAAGGGAGTTCTCAGGAGAGAGTTGTGGTGAAAGCCAAGGGCCCAGCCACTCTCTCTGCTTTCTGGTTTGCCATGTGATTGATGCTCTACAACATGGCCTGCCACTGCCAGTCACCTGTCTCCGGCCTCACCAGATGTCCGAACCGATTGGGCCCACCGCATCCTGTGCTGTGGACCTCCAAAACCATGAGTGAAACTAAGTGTTCTCCTGTGCGAGTCAGCTTTACTCGGTTACTTTAACTACAGTGACAAAAGCGACTACTGCAGTCAGTGTCTTTCTCTTCCTCTCTGCAACCTCCAGCCTCCTCCTCTGGAGTCTCGTACTCGTTGGTAGGCATTTCTGGGGAAGAATCTTTTCCCCCAGACCTAGAGAAACTTCTTATCAGAAGTTCCACAGGGGTACTTCAAATAGTGCTTTCCTTCATGGAAAAATTCAATTAAAAGACAAATTTATGGCTGGTGCCGCGGCTCGCTAGGCTAATCCTCCACCCGCGGCGCCGGCACCCCAGTTCTAGTCCTGGTTGGGGCACCGGATTCTGTCCCAGTTGCCCCTCTTCCAGTCCAGCTCTCTGCTGCGGCCAGGGAGGGCAATGGAGGATGGTCCAAGTGCTTGGGCCCTGCACCCGCATGGGAGACCAGGAGGAGGCACCTGGCTCCTGGCTTTAGATTGGTGCCGGCCGTAGCGGCCACTTGGGGGGTGAACCAGCGGAAAAAGGAAGATCTTTCTCTCTGTCTCTCTCTCTCTCACTGTCTAACTCTGCCTGTCAAAAAATAATTTAAAAAAATTTATTTTAGTACAAAAATTTTGAAATTCATGCATATTTTTTTCATAATATGGATTTTTCCACAAACTTAAATGTCCCCTTCTACATCTTCCTCTCTCCTTTTAGATTCCTCTGGCGTGAGTTAGTAATTGGTCACATGAGAAACACACAGCAAGCTCTTTGAGTTGTCATGGGAAGCCCCTCTGCCTAGATTTAAGGAGATCAAGAATCCGAGAGGTCATGATGTTGTCTGGTTTGTCCACGTAGACATCAAGTCACCTGGGTTAGGGACAGTGTGACAGGCAAGAGGGCAAGATTCAGTGTCAACATCTTCTCTGCATGAGGGCCTTGACCATACGGGGTAGCGACATAGAGGAGGTATTGTAGGAGCCAGTCTAAGCTGATAACATGAGCACCAAAGGGAGAGAGGACATGCCCGTGCAATAGGAGAGAGGAAATATTCAGGAGGTGGTTCCTGGAGGCAGAAACGTGTTGCCACCACCCCCAGGCTGTGAGGAACCCAAGAGCAAAGCTGAGAAGCATTCTCTTGAGAGATTTTAGGGAACTCAAGTATCTCGGGGGACAGAAGGTGGAAGAAACCTGTTTTGAAGAGACAGAGAGTGTAGGGGAGTTGATTCCCAAAGGAATAATGAAAAATTTTGGGTATGGGGAGCAGTGAGCGTTTGGATCAGGGAAGACGCGGGATGGGGTTTTAAGCAGATGATGTGACTGGAAGCATTTTTTTGATGGCAGTGTTGGGAAGGCTGGTAGGATTCTACGGAGGATGTCAATTGTTCCTAGGTGCTGTTGTTCTTCAGTGGTCAGAATCTGAATGTCATCTTGTTCTATAGACCTTAGGCCTTTGACTTGTAGGAGAATCTGTGATGTTTGGGTGTTACTCAGATTCTACTTGGTGGCTAAACAGTGCAGTGTCTTTTAATAGGGGTGGGGATGCAAATAATCAAATAGAACACAAAATGATTGAACTCTGCTACAGTAACTGAGAACATAGTCCCAGCAGGGCTCATGCTTGGAGCTGTTATCGCTGCACCAGTGGCTGGGTTATCCTGGGAAAGGCCCACGGGGTGAGGCTCTGACTCGACCAGGTGTGCAGCTTGCGAACACACAGCAGAGGGAACAATGCTGGCCTCCCAGCCAGCTGAGCCCATCTGAGCTTGGGGCTCCAGCCCCGAGCAGATGCAACGCAAGCCTGAGCACCCGCTGGACTGTCTTTTGTGTCTCTCATCCACAGAAAGTCAGACACCCTCTTCCTCCTGCTCTTGTCCAGTTCTGTTCTCTGTCTCAGGCTTCTCCCTTTCTATGTAACACACAATGCTTTAAATAATCATGTAAGTTACACATGATTATAGAAGCACTAACAAATAAAAGTAATGATAATAAGAAAAATATATGGCTATGATAGTTTAATTTTTGATAATGCCTTCATATAATATAATATCTAAATGAGATTATAATATAAATGCTGCTTTGCAACCTACTTTTTCTCCACTGAGAAAGGATGTTATTATCATCTTTTCATATTATCAAAAGCTATATCTGTACAAGTGACATTTGGCAGCAAGGGCCTTTCTTCAAATAGAATTTTATTTTGAGCTTAGAATAAAAAAATGTGAGGAAGGCTCGAAGCTGGGTGACATCAGCACTTCCCAGACCTTCCCTGGAGCAGTTCCATAAAATGAGCTCTTTTGAGGACCAGCGTGTGACGTGGGATTTGAAAAGTATGATAAGTAACATTTCCCATGGTTACACTCAGCTCCAATTTTCTCAATAGTCTACTACAAGTATTTCATTTCCAAATATTTTCCGTTACAAATACTTTCTATGTACCTCTCTGCACAACTCTGCTTATTTCCTTAGTATGAATTCTTACAAGCATCATATTTATTAGCTTTTGACTAATATTGTTACACTGCCTCCAAAAGTGTCTACAATTTATGGTTACCACATTTTCATTCCACTATATTCTCCCAACACTGAGAGGAATCTTCCTTCCAGTCTTTTCACTTGGTTGGTAAAATTTCCTATGCCAATGTTTAATCTTGTGGTAATTTAATTACTCATCAAAATAAGCATTTCTATGTATTTTCCACTCATTTGTGTTTCTTTGCTTCTTAATATTTTGGTCATGTTCTTGGCCTATTTTTCAACTGAAATGTTCTTATTTCTTTGTATAGTTCTTTATAAGAAGAATATTAACTCTCTTCTGTACAAGTATTTGCTATTCACTCTTTTCCTTTTTGTTTGTGTCTTCTATTATTTGTGTAAATAATTTCAAAAATTTGCTGTAGTAAAAAATCTCTATTTCTCTTATTGTTTCTGGTTTGGTATGTTCCTAGAAAGGTTTTTCCCTCGTCAAATATAATGATTACCAAATAAAAGTTTTACCTGGATGTTATTTTAGTGCTTTTATGTTTAAAATGGTTACTTTATAAATACAATTAGAATTTATCATGTAATTAGCTGAGACATGTGATGATCTAATATTTTTTATAATGAATATTCAGCTATTCCAACATCATATACTGAATAACTCATTCTCTTCTAACTGAATTGAAATTTTATGTACTTTATGGATCTGGTATTACACTATTCTAATTATCAGTTTTATATTATGTTTTAATGTCTAACACTACATATTTCTCTTCATCATAATTGATATTTTCCTAATTTTTATTCTCAGATTTATATTTCTTTTTTTTAAGATTTATTTATTTATTGGAAAGTCAGTTACACAAGAGAAGGAGAGGCTGAGAGAGAGAAAGAAACCAATTTAAAAAATTTTAAAAACCAATTTTAAAAAATATTCCTGGCTGGCGCTGCGGCTCACTAGGCTAATCCTCCGACTTGCGGCGCTGGCACACCGGGTTCTAGTCCCGGTCGGGGCGCCGGATTCTGTCCCGGTTGCTCCTCTTACAGGACAGCTCTCTACTGTGGCCCGGGAGTGCAGTGGAGGATGGCCCAGGTCCTTGGCCCTGCACCCCATGGGAGACCAGGAGAAGCACCTGGCTCCCGGCTTTGGATCGGTGCGGTGCGCCGGCTTGGAGCGGCCACTGGGGGGTGAAAAGGAAGACCTTTCTCTCTGTCTCTCTCTCACTGTCCGCTCTGCCTGTCAAAAAAAAAATTCCTTTCAGTTATTTTTACCAGCTTATATCATTGTCCAAAAATTACCCCAATTTCCTGCTTTCTTAAAGCCCTCTGCTGGCACTGACTAAACTTGCTTATGCTAAAGATCTACTCAGACCATTAATGTTGCTTTCTCCGGGGTAAATCCCATGGATGGAATTTTAAATGTGATATGAATTTCCCAGAGTTGACTTTGCCAGACGTTTTACGGTATCTGTTGGCTCCTCCTCTTTGCAGTAAAGACTTTCTGTTAGGGTCTTCAGTCCATCAGTTGTCACAGGCGGAGGGTACTGCAGAGGGCTGAGTGCTGGGCTCCTGCTCCTGTTCAGGGGGTGTGAAGGGTGGGGTCTGCCCGCGGGCAGAGCAGTGGGCGCTCGTTCTGGACCTGGGCACCACCGTCCTGCCAGGGCATTGCTGCTCCCCAGGACCCTTTTTCATTTCAAGCCCAGCATGGGGAGCAGGGATTTCCAACCCCACTGCCCACCTGCGATGGACAAAGGCGTCAGGAAGGGAGGCCTGCTGGGATGGCCCCCCATGGTGGGCTTCAGGCCGGCCAGCATTGCCTGGCTGCTCACTGCCTCTGGGGATTCGTGCGCTCTGTTCAGAAAATGCTCTTATAACTTCTCTCACCCGATGGCAGCCTCACCGGGGCTGTTGCGAGCTGTGGTTTCTCTGACCCGAATGCTGCTTTCTTTCAGGGACCCTCAGCAGTTCTGAATCAAGGAGGGTTTCCCTTCTTTCCAGGATGATCACCAATTAAAAATATCTTTTGGATGGTTTCTGTGGTTTGGGGGAAAGTAAGACACCATATTTGCTTCTGGAAAATGAACAAGTTGAGGGGGACTGCTCATTTCTTTTTTTTTTTTTTTTTTTTTTTTTGACAGGCAGAGTGGACAGTGAGAGAGAGAGAGAGAGACAGAGAGAAAGGTCTTCCTTTGCCGCTGGTTCACCCCCCAATGGTCGCCGCGGCTGGCGCACTGCAGCAGGCACACCACGCTGATCCGAAGGCAGGAGCCAGGTGCTTCTCCTGGTCTCCCATGGGGTGCAGGGCCCAAGCACCTGGGCCATCCTCTGCTGCACTCCCTGGCCATAGCAGAGAGTTGGCCTGGAAGAGGGGCAACCAGGACAGAATCCGGCGCCCTAACCAGCACTAGAACCCGGTGTGCCGGCACCGCAAGGCGGAAGATTAGCCTAGTGAGCCACGGTGCCGGCTGGGACTGTTCATTTCTTTGAACAGGCACACTCATGTGTGTCAACATGAGTCTAAAGGAGCTAAGTGGGTATATTGCACCAAGACGAACGACTGCAAGAGGGCCCAGCCAGCCTCTCCTCGGGGACTCTGGGTCATCCTTGGGATCATCTGCATTTTTTTCCAGGTACCAAACCTTTCTTTTCTATCTGCTTTTAGACACTCAGACCCATGGGGCAGAGAAGGACAAAGGGGAAGAGGAGGAGGAGAAAATGAGGAGGAAGAGGATGATTGAGAGATTTTTTCATGAAAACAGTCCTACCCGCAATCAAGGAGGACCCAGAAGAGCACTTGGCGGGGCCAGCTCACCTCCTTGCAGGAACTTCATGGGGTGGACGATGGCGTGGTACCTGTCTATGCTGAGGGACACCAGGACATAGGTGGAGGCGTAGAGCAGCACAACCTGCAGGCAGACATGACAGGAAGCGTGTGATTTCATAGCAGTGAGGGAACACACACAATGGCGAGCATGTTTTATGCTGCTTAGAAACCTGGGGACTGACCCAAGGCAGGGACGCAAGTTGGAATAGGGAGTGGAATAACCAGCTCCGTGCTGGGGACACGGTGTGGGCCTTGGTGCTGGAACTGGCCTCACTCGCAATGACGTATGGCTGCAGGCCTGAATTGCTCTCTGGGTCACTTGGTTTCTCGGAGCCGCCATAATTCAGGATCAGTCCCTTGTGACATTTGCATGGTACATTTATTTGTAATTGACTTTTAAAACTAAACTAATTTTCTCGGCCACAATTGACATTCCAGCATTATTAGAGACAAAAATTCATTTGCCTTTTTACCGGTGTGAATTGTTGAGGGATGACAGAAGGGTGCCGGTTCCAGGGAGGCCACGTACTGGTCTGAATCATTGATCATCATCAGGGCTGACGTGGCCGGAGCTCCCCGCTTCTTCCTCGTCTCTGCAGAGCTGGTCGCTGGGGTCAGTCCCTGGGTCTCCTCTTCCTCCCTCCCACTCACTCTTTTATTAACCTTTAATTATCCCGTGTACAGTATTATTTGCATATTTTGATGACAAGGAAATTGGGATGTAGTTAAGTTAATATCTTTGTGAGGCGCATATTTAGGAAGTGATTAAATGAAAGATCTTTGAAAGGACGATCAAGATGGACATTTTTCTGATAAGTTCAAGCCTTACTTTTCCAAGAGTCCGCTCTGTCTCTGCTCTGGGAACTTGGGGTAAAATCTAGAGATCACAGAAGATTAACCTGAAGATGGAAGTCTGTGGGTGAGTGTATGGTCTGACTTTCTTCTTAGCATTCACCTTTATTTTGAATTTGTGTCTTTTTTGGTTTTTCCCCTGGGTCAGATGAGTAAAAACCAATGACAGTTGCTACTCAGTTTACAGGTCCTGATAAGCCCAGTGTAAGTGGAATATATCATGGGATGAAATGTGGCTGCTATGTCTAATCTACCAAATGGCGTGGCTTAGCTTAGCCTGTCTTAAAGTGCTCACGACACATGTCCAGCTGGTGGATAGACAACATCATCTAACACAAAGTCTATTTCATAACAAAATCTTGAATATTTTATGCCATTTATTGAATCATGTACTGAAAATGAAAAATAGAATGATGGTTTTAGCACCATCAAAAGGCAAAAGCTTGTAAGTTTGACCATCATTAAGTTGGGGGCCATGTATATATTATCATTCTTTATTATTTTATTTCAGGAACACTCTCACAGGGGCATATCAGGGAGTTCTGTGGAATGATCAGAGATTGAAGGCTCTGCAGAGGGATCTAAGAAGAAATTCTCTTCTTGGGGAAAAGGTGATAAATGGAAAAAAGAAAATTGACAATTAAGATAAGAAAAACAAACAACTGAAGTTTCTGCATGTGGTTCATGAATTCAGAATTACTGGGGCTGCTCTCACTCCATTGAGGAGGCTTCAGAGAAGGATGGCAGAGGCAACACCCAGTGGCAGAACCCGTTGGGATGAACACTGTGAGCAGATTCTAAGACTCTCGGGCATCTGCACCGTATGGGCAGAAGTGGCCGACACAGTTCAGAATCTAGAGTAGGAGCAAGAGTCAGAAGCAAGGGTTTCTGGAGGAGCAGGTGGTGTTAATAAAAAAGAGATCAACTTTGAGGTACAATAAAAAAAGAGATTAAGCCTCCTCAAATATTTAGATAGGCTAAAAAAAAAAATAAAGGTTATCTAAAAGAGATGTATTTCAAGTTTTCATTCCTCTTCATAAGCATAAATGCCAGAAAAAATTATAACAACATGTTCAGAGTTTTGAAGAAAAAAGTATAATCCAAAAATTTTGTAAATATCATTTCTGTGCCAGGGCACATAACAATTTTCTCATATATAAGAGGGAAGAAAATATAGCATCGCACACTCTTTTCTGCAGTCCTCCTCAAGGAAACCCTTCAGTTGATTGAGAGTTGTGTCAAAAAATTAAGAGCTTGGGGCCGGTGCTGTGGCGTGGCGGGTAAGGCTGCCGCCTGCAGTGCTGGCATGCCATGTGGGCGCCGGTTCAAGACCTGGCTGTTCCACTTCCAATCCAGCGCTCCGTTATGGTCAGTGAAAGCAGTGGAAGATGGCCCAAGTCCTTGTGCCCCTGCACCCTCATAGGAGACCCGGAAGAGTCTCTTGGCTCCTGGCTCCTGGCTTCGGATGGGCACAGCTCTGGTTCTTGCAGCCAGTTGGGGAATGGACCAGCGGATAGAAGGCCTCTCTCTGCCTCTCCTTCTCTCTCTGTGTAACTTTGACTTTCAAATAGAACTTAAGAGCTCATGAAGAGGAAAGAGGATAAAATACTTTTAACTATGGTAAGCAATAAAGTTTTTAAAAAACACAAATGTCCACAAAATAATTGTGAAAATAGTTAGGGAAGGTTTCATTGAAGAAACTGTTGAAATCCTGGCATGGACCATGGCCACAGTCTCTTCAGAGACTCTAGTGAGACTTGATCCCTTGCCTCTTCTATCTTCAGGTGGCTGTTTAGCTCTCTTGGGCTTGTGGCCACAAGAGTCCAGTTCCTGCCTCACTGTCACAATGCCTTCTCTTCTTTGATACATCTCTCTTTGTTACATCAGGGAAATAGAATTACATGTGATAAGGGGATTTTTATTTTGATAAAAGATACAATATATATGGCAACAGAATATTCATAAACTACTCTGTAATAAGTAACATACCCCTACATAAATACTTACATAAAAATGTTCAGTATTTTACAAAGGGAAAAAACATAAAAATATATAAATAGAAAAAATTATACATTGTAACATAAGATATTATAAAATATCTAGATGACATTTCAAACTTTGTCATATACTAAATTGCTCAAAAAGAAAACTCAATAGATTCCGAAAACCAGAACTTATGTAATTCACATATTTAAAACAACCAGCAAAGAACTGAAATTAGCAACATTTAAAAAAAATCACTTGGAAATTTAAACACCTCATAATTAGCTCAAGTCAAGAAGGAAATCAAAGTACAATTATAGTCAATTCATAAATGTCAACAATGAAAACTCTACACACCAACAACATATGGGATACCACTCAGGGAACAGATGGCAGCATGAGGACATATGTCTGAATTCTCACTACCCCACCCCTTACTTCTGACAGAAATGACCTAGGAAATATGAAACTAAGGAAAATCTCACACAGACAAGTGAGACTTAAATGCTGGAAACATACAAACTTGACTTAGAAAAGTGCCAGATTGGTTGCATATAAAGGAAGATGCCTGGACTGACTTTAAAAAAATCTACTTTATTTTAGGAAAATTTTATATTTACAAAATATTACAGATAGTACACAGTTCCCATATACACCTCTCCCACTCACTATTACTAATGTGTTGTATGAATGTGGTACATTTGTTAAAAGGATGAACCAAACACGATTATTAACCATAAGTACAGTTCTCTAGGTTTTGACAATTGCCTAATGTCATGTACCATCCACCGTCACAGTGGCGCACAGGAGAGTTTCACTGTGCTAAAAATCTCCTGGAAACCACTTATGATTATGTTTATGATTTTTACTGTCCTATAGCTTTGATCGAGAGTGTAATATTGTGGGAAACATACAGTACATAGACGTATCAGGCTTGCTTCTTCTATGTAACAATGTACATTTAAGATTCTTCCCCACCTTTTCATAGCTCACTAGCTCATTTTGTTCTATCACCAAATAATATTTCATTCTTTGGATGTACCATAGTTTATTAATCTATTCCGCTTTTGAGGGACATTGTGGTTGCCTCCAGTTTTGTATGAATATGAATGAAATTTTTGTAAACAATCTTATGCAGAGTTTTGTGTGGAAGTAAATCGTCAACTCAATTGCAAAAGGAACTAGGATCACTATGGTTGGATCATATGGTGGGGCTATATTTAGTTTGTAATAAGCTGCTACTCAGCCATAAAAAATAATTAAATCTTGTCTTTTGCAACAAAATAGATGCAGTTGGAGACCATTGTGCTTAGTGAAATAAGACAGACCTAAAAATACAAATATCATGTTTTTTTTCTGATTTGTGTTAGCTAATATATAGAGTACAAGAAAATTAATGTATATGAGTGAAATTGACATCTTATGATTTGATTATTGTTTTATAGCCCTTGGCTCCTTGGCTATACGCCTGTGGAAGAGTGGTTTTTCTACTTTTTGCTCATTGATATTTAGTGGAGTATTAAGCTTATAGTTATGGAATAAATTGAAAATGCATTATTGCAAAAATTGAAAGAAAAAAAGGAAGGAAGAGAGAGGAAAGTATCTTTATGTTCTTAGAATTGTATCTTTAAAGCACATGAAATCTGTTCTCTTTGTATCAATCAAAAGACATAATAAACCCAGGCAAGGGCACCCTAGTTGAGGAAGGGAGGCTGGACCTGGTGGTACCCAGCACCTGCATTCCCTGTATGGGAGCTCAGATTCAGTACCAAGTATTTATTGACAAATAAGAAATGGCGAAGTGAACATTTAAATGGTTGAGAGAAAACAGATTACATTGACTTACTCTTGATTATTAGAACTTCCGACAGGAATAAATGTTGAAGATAAACTTGTTGGCCATTGAAATAAAGGTTGTATCAGTAGATCAAGTAAAGGATACATCAGTAGAATATGTAAAGAATTTTCAGATAAACAAAATGACTCTCTATGGAACCAGGATATGTGTGGCAAATGTTTGTGAGAATAGTGCTGAGAATGTATAAATGAAAAACTTTGAGTAAGAAAGAAAAGAAAAACCAGATAAATTATCTTCCCAAATGGGTATACCATTTTAAACCCCCATCAGCCATGACTGAGAGTTCCTGTTAATATACACCCTTACCAGTATATGGTATCATGAGATTTTGAATTTTAGCTATTTTATAGTGTGTGTGTAGTGGTATCATTGTTGTTTAATTTGTGATT